GCACGCGGGAAGGAGGGCATATCGGACCCCTCGGGACCTACGATTACGGGCCCCATTTGATGGCCAGAAGGGCCCGAAAGGCCGGCCGGAAGTCGCATTAAGGGTCCTCGGCCCACAGGGCCGGGCACTCCAATGCCAGTCAGAGGGCCCTGCGTGCTGATCATGGCCCTTGAGTCAGAAAGAGCCTTTATGTTTGTCAGACTCCACCAGTAACACACAGTCTGCTCCGTGGCGGCATATACCTGAAGGCCCATTTCCAAGGCAGGGACAAAGCCGGAGCCAGTGATTTACATTGGTCGGGGCCCACAAGAGCCCCACAGCGCCAGCAGGGCCCTGTTTTGGCAATGGGGCCCCAATTCGGCCATATACAGTGTTCGGGGAGCCTCGAATAGCATGGAGGGTCCAACGAGCCCAATAATCAAGAACCCGGCTGGAAGGTCTGAGGACACGAATGTCTGGTCGGAGTCTTACTTAGGGGGCCCGGTCTGCGGGAATGAACGTTCAAATGTCAGTCAAAGGCCCTTTACGCCGATCGAGGACCCCTAAGTCAGCACGGGCTTATATGTCGGTCAGGCACCACCACTACCGCACAGCCGGTTGAGTGTCGGTATGGGCCTGAGTCCCCATTTCCCGTCAGTGGTCGGCCCTTTTATCTGTCAGAGGCCTACAGCTCTCAAGAGAGGGTCCTGTGCTCGCAAGAGCCCAAGCCGACCGAGGACAGTGTTCGATGAGATCCGAAGAGGGGCCCGGGCGGTGCACCGAAACCGACGATCGGGGGCTCGGTTGGGAGGAATAACGACCCGAAGGACTGGTTGTAGGTCGCATAAAGAATCGCGGCCCGTGAGGTCTTGACGTGAAATATCACTCCGTGGTCCTCCTGCATCGTTTGAGGATCCCCTGAGACAATACAGGTGTCTAAATCGGCCAAAGATCATGAGCACCGAACGGTTGGCTCCCTGTGAATGCGATCTCCGTGGACCTATTTGCCAAGCAAATGCAAGGCCGATGACCACGGTTTACATTGGTCTAGGTTCCTGAAACAATGGATGGGGCCTCGTTGTCGGTCAGGGGCCCTTAGTTTGTCAAGGGCTTTGTTTGAGGAGGTCCGAAGAGGAACCGAAGGGTTCCTCTGGACCAAAGATCGAGGACCTGATTGGACACGGACCTGGCGCCCCATTAATGCTGAAGCCTGAGATGTCAGTCAAAGGACCCTCTCATTATGCTTTTCTAGCCCTATCATATATGGCCTCGACAAGGAGCCAAACGGCCAGCTCCATGTCCGTCTGGGCCCTTGCGGCTCATTTCCCAAGCAGGAACAAGGCCTGGGCTTCGTGATTTGCAATGTTCGGGGTCACTGACACAAAGAGGGACTCCTTTGTCGGTCAGGAGTCACAGTGCCTAACAGAGAGCCTGTGGTGGCGAGTGGCCCCGAGTCGGCCTGAAGCGGCATTTTGAAAGGGCCCGAAGAGGGGCCGAGGGGTCTCTCGAGCCCAAAAATCAAGAGCCCGATTGTAAAGCTGAAGGACCCGGGAGGGGGGGGGGGGACTGGCTGAAGGCCATCTTAAGGACCATCACCCGTATAGCTGTGATCTTAAAGCCAGAGGGTCTACTGCACCGATTGGAGGACCCTTAAGAAGGGGCGCTCTTCTATTTTGACTAGGGATCACCAACGCCAAACAGTCGGCCCCTTATCGGTCTAAGCCTCGGGGCCCATTTCCCGCGCAGGAACAAGGCCGGTTCAATGACTTGCATTGGTCGGAGCCCCTGCAACAATGCGGGTCTCCTGTATTGTTCAGGGCGACAGCGCCTCGCAAGGTATCCTGTGTCAACAAAGGGCTTGGAGTCGGACAGGGGAAGATTTGCTTGACGGGAACGGGGACGGGACCCCGAATGAAAGGGGGTCTCTTGCGTTGGTCGGGGAAATCTGACAATGAGCCGAAACATGAGAACTTATGATGAATGTTTATCCGCCACTCAGGGCCTCCAGTACCGAACGGTGAAACCTCCAACACAATTCCACTTAGCCGTTAAGCCGAACTGAAGTCTACAGTTCAATTATTGGACCACCTGCGGCGAACAGGTATGATTGATGGCTGCCACGCGCCCCAGAAGGCCCTTAAATTTCGACAGGGTACTCTGAATCTGCGTATGGGATATGTGTGACGCGACGCACGGCACGCGGGCGCCATCGACGCCAAGGCTGACAGTCAGAGGGGCTGCGTGGCCGCCGCCGGCGTCAGCACGATCACTGAAACGCCGGGCTGGCTGCCGTGGCCGTTTCAGTTGTCTGGGCCAATTCAATTGTCAATTCAATTGCCTCCTTGTCAAAGAAACTATCTCAGATATGCATAGCTTTATCTGACGCTCTGCTGTTTTATCAGATTAAACGGTTTCCTACGCATTGGTTTTGCTGACAGCCATGGCAATACTTCGACCTGCCATAAGTCAGGGGCCTTACAACGTACATCTGATATTCGCACCTACAGATCCGCAACTAAATTGCCTACAGCTAGAGCTTTGGCGCGGCTGCATCCCGCCGTTCGGATTTGGTTTTATCCCACAACCCATTTGGGTTTAAATAAAGCCCCACTCGAGCGCGTGCACCGCCGCTGCCCCCGCATCGCTGCATCGCCACGTTGCGCATTTCCACTTGTTCTCATTCGTTGCGATTCCAAGTTACCCAAGTTCGTTAAGTGTGCTGCAACCGAAACTTGAATGCGAGCATCTTGTGAGGACCTTTCCATGCCACTGCTTTCACCTCTGTGGCATTTGTCTGCGTTTGATTTCGTCGCATTGCCGTCTGGACGTCCGTGGCAGGGCAGCCATATGCCCGGGCCCCCCTCGGTAGCCCCGCGTTCTACCGGTCTGGAGAGCGATTTAGAGGCGGGCTCCACCAATCAGCGCGGCCTACGCTATTCTACCGAGTTCTACCAAGTCTCCTGGCGGGTAAAGGCGAGCGGCCGCTCCGGCTGTAGCCGACATACTTGGGTGGGGGCGGCATCCGACCTTACTGTGGGGGACCTGCTGTGCCAAGCGTAAGGCGCCTTCATCCCACCCATGCAACATTGATTACAGGGCGCTGCATGTGCGTATGCATACTTTTTGTCTTCTTAAAAACCGTTCCCTTAGTACACCTAATAGGCGTGTCACCACATCCTGTCCCGAAATGACTGGAGAAATATCACTACTCTGCCTCCTAGATCCCAGCAAGTTCTACGATGCTAGAGACCACTTAAGCCTCCTCCACAAGCTGGGCGCCCACAGTATGGGTACCTCTCGGTTTTCCGCCTACGTCCGTATCACATCAAAGCGTCGGTCCCACTGAGCGCACTCGTACTTGGAAAGTCTCCTCTGAACTACCACACAGCACAGGCGCACTCCAGGGATCCGCGCTGGGTCCCCTCCTCTTCAGCAAACGAAATCTGACATGGGAAGAAATATTATACTGGTGCTTTACCATGTCATATTTCAAATGGTTCATCTGGTGCGACTCGGTCTAATCTCGCCTTGAGGCGTCCGGTTCGGTACGGTCCCGTCCCATTTGGTCCCATTTAGTCTCGTCCGGTTCTATCCGATCCCGTCTCATCTCCTCTTTTCTCGTCCGGTCCCTTCTGGTCTGATCTGGTCCGTCCTATTCATTCCCATGTAGTCCCATCTGACTTTCCCATTGCCACATCTTTATGCACCTCTCATACCAGGCGTCAATTCCTGATGATTTTTTTCAGTTTTAAATGATTTTGACTGTTGGCGTTTTTACACATCCGAGTTGGCCTTAACCTCTGGCGATGTTCAATCTCTTGACTTAACCCAACAATGTCTTGAATTTTATTTCATTCAGACTTTTTGTCGGTTTGACTTTTCTCCCCATTGAATTTTGTCCGTTGACATATTTTGTTACACTTTTTCCATTTGACTTTTGTTAAAAAACCTGCATGGTACAGCCCACTCTGTTCACATTACGTTGTGTACACATCAATACATTAAGGCCAGTCTAAACATAATAAAGCCAAAAGAAGCTACATTTTTTGTCAATGCCGCTTGGTTGACCATGTCGGGCATACTGTGGTGTGCGAAACATGAAGGGGATCGTTGGATTGCCATACGAACAACCCACCCTTTCCGTCTAGCCGCGCGAAAAAAACAGGTCTGGCAGAAAACATTGAGGGATAAAGAGGAAGATTTATCGAATGATTTTGGTGACTGATAAGATATAGGTCATCCATCAAATGATAATGTATGACTGGTGGTTATTTATTCAGGTAAGAAATCAAGTAGCCATACTTTGCATGTAAAACTGTAGAACTGCTGCCCTCGCGCCCACGACCTGGAAAACTGGCAATAACATCCCGGTGGTCCGAACAGCCCCAAACTCTGTCGCTGACAATAAATTGTCGCTCAATCAACCAGTGTGAGCAGTACCACGCCCGGTTCCATGCCAACAGCGGCTGCAGTGCACAGGTGAGCGTCCTCCTAGCGTCCCACCACGAAAACTGCTGACATCGCGGTACATTAACAGAATCAAGGAAATCAAGAGACCAAACCAATCTGGGGTTAGCGACTTCCTGTAGCGATAGCTCGCACGACCAATGGTTACAAGTGATGAGATAAAGCAGTAGAATAAAGAAGAGCATCGAAAATAATGACACGGTAAAGAAATAAACTATTGCAAGTGGAATTACATAAAATTCGAAATCATGATCAAAATAAATCACGCAAGATATTCATTTTGGTGGACAGGGGGGTGAGAGTGAGAGTGAGAGCAAGAGTAAGAGCAAGAGTAAAAGCAGGAGCAAGAGTGCGAGTGAGGGTGAGAGGAAACCTTTATTTACAAAATCACATTCCATTAGTCTGCATGCAGATGTAAGGTCGGGAAATAACAATGCAAGGTGCAATCGTTTCCACCACGCCATCCTGATCGCTGAGAGGGGGGGGGGGGGGGGAAATTCATCACCCACGAGCTCCGTGATTCCAGATTTATAATGAAAAGCAACGGTACTTACCATTACAACCCAAGCGTTGATAGTGCTGCTCAAATGAAATTCGTCCTGAAACATTGCATACAATCAGCCGACACAAATATAACTTTTCGCCCCGCTAGATTGAGGAGCAACGGCTAGTTTGAATATATCCTAGCAAGGTTGTGAAGCACGTGAATCTCAGGGCGCTTACGAAATATTTGATGTTTGTGACTGTTTAGCGCGTTGACAGCACAGCCCGTTCATGTTGTAATCCAGTGATGTCAGAAGTAACCAATTTCAAACAATGGTGCAAACGGATACCAATAAGGAAGCGCGAATTGCGTCTAAAAACTTACCGCATTGTTCCTGCACTCAACAACTTACCGCTCTCTGAAATTGTCAGTAGCGCATTCGCATGTAAAATTTTCGGGCCATCTCATTGCCTTCTTTTTTATTAAGGTGTGTTTTGCATTGACCAGGATCGCTCAGGTGTTTGTCAACTATGCAAGGACCTAAATAACTTTAGGTTCTGGTTACCACCCTCAAAACAAGGAATGGATAAAACCATCTGTTACGTCTGAAACACCGTCAAGGATTAAATAAGCTGTTTTACACATATTTAAGTAATGAGACGGATATACGACGAACAAAAAATGCATCGCTATCCAGAACTTGTGGCCTATACAGCACATACGTCTTCACAAACAGAGGCTCCCAATTTTGTTGTGCAACCAAGGAACGAGCGCCGTAAAATGCATTCTGCATTTTGGTACGCGTTCCCGCCATGCAGGCTCAAGACCCTCCATGAAGAATTTCTGTACACGATGGCTACTAGCTTCTGCACACAACGAACTATATAGCTATATAACGAAAATTAACAAAGATGGGAAGGAAAATACCAAATGTTTAAAGCTTTGATTTATCCCCAGTCGACCGACTCATTTCTCTTAAGTATTTAAATTACGTGTCAGCGACACTTTGTATGTTTCATAGATCTCTTAAGAATATGCTAATGATGAAGGAGTCGCAGGATATCTTCATAAACGGCATTTGAAATAAATATGCCATAATCGTGTAAGCTACAAAATTTGAGGAGCAATTCTCAAGCCTTAGATTCTGCCGGGCACTTCGTCAATAAAAAGGCGAATTACTGATACAATAGGGTAACAAAGACAAAATTAATAATGACTGGTCTATAACATGGCGGGGTGGCATATCATGGACCATCGAGAAGATCAAGGCCATGAAAAATAGAACTGTCAAGTCGTTCATATTTGGAGTTCGTGAGCACGTCATCCAGATATAATGGCGATCAATGTGTTCTTAATGATGTGCAACGTACAATGTCGTTATCAAACAATGGCGTATTGGGAACCATATTCACTAGAATGAGAAATTGTGTTGTGCATTTTGACGTGCAATTGGAAGTGTTGTGCAATTATGTAAAGGCTCAGCAATGCCACGACCACCTATTGAAAGACTGGATCACTACAAGTGCGTGTTAGGGTGGCGATGCCGCACGGCCAATTTGGCAGCACCTCAACGTCATACAAACGTTCCATGGCCCCAACAACTAATGATTTATTGAGGAGCATGGTTACTGAGGATATATTTGTTGTCTAGACCAGTCTCTTCCACTTTAAATTATATCAACAGTTATAAGTGAACATATTTCATCATATCTAATGCTTTCTTAAATATCTCCGCGTGTTGGACAATCCCTTCAAGACTGGCTCGTCTCGCGACTTCACTCGTAATCAGACTGGTAAGTCTGCTGACCTTATTCATATTCACAGACTGCAGAGAAAAGAGCGCGCATGCGTGCCTGCTTGTGTGTATACGTCAACATACATCAGCACTTACGATTTCAAAGCTGCGCAGCATGACGGTTATATAAGTGACAACCGGTGACGATGGATATACGGGAAACGGCCGACTCGTCCGGTCATAGTCGCGCAATATCGCCTTCTTCACCTCCTCTTCTGCGTTCTCTGCAACAATGATGCGCAATAATGAATCGCATGCAGTGCAAAGGTGTCTTCATATAGTCCGCATGGCTTAGATGCTCCACATTTACACGGGGTTTTGAATCAAAAGAGCCATCTTGAAGACATTTCGTTGCTCTTCACAAGCATGCAATTCAAAAGACTTAAACCCCTTTGGTTTCGAAACAACACTCCCGCTAAAATGGGAAAAGTATTTCGGGGAGATATTTTTCAAAGTCACCTTGACATAAACGATGTCATAATAATAACATTCAAATCTTGCCATTCCATAAGCCTTGTGGCGATCAAGGCCAATAAAAATATAATTGTCGAGGCGTTCGCATCTGGCGTCGTGAGTTCGGTTTCCAAATATAACGACCGTCAATTGGTCCTCAATCATTATTGTGCGAGATACAATGATAATATCAAGCCACGACGTATTGTAAAGCATAGTAACTGTACAAAAATTGCGCCGTCTAGGAAAGTCTTTTCCACATAAAAATATGGCAATAGTTATAAGTGGGCTTATTTAATAATATCTGATGATGCCTTGCATATCTTCAAAAGTGAAACATACCTTTTAAGAAGCACTTTCTCAACACAGAGACCCGTACATTTTGGCGTGAAGTTGCGTAATCCAGTTTATCAAAGCAAAATATGCCATTTACTACTATAATTTACGACACTAAAAAGAACAGCAAATACACAAACTGCGACACAAATATACACAAGCAATCTGGCATGGGTTTTTGATAGTAAAAAACTAAGATGCGACTGAGCTTAATTTGAATAAGTTTCCGATGAATTTGGCAATGCAATTAACGCAGGTGTCCATGTTCAGATTATAGCACCGACCTTAGAATTGCTAATTATTGAAAGACAAATTGCTGAAGCGGCAAGCCTAAGCAACATGTTGCAGCTGTAAAAGGCATTAAGGAGCAAATAACTTACATGTGAGCAAGACATATGACTGTTCGAGTGCTCGGGCAACAGGCCTTGGGTGGGGCATGCCAAGATCAAAAGATGGGTTAAACAACCATATCAAGAAGTTTCTTCGCAATAACATCCAAATACATCTCGCGTGAGATGATTTTTTGTGGGTATCGCAGCACTTGTCATAGATATAACGCATTTCATGTCAGCGGCATCACAAACATTTTCAAAGCGAGATGTATTCTACTCCATTGCCTGCTGTGCCTACCCAGGGTGACAACAAAATGGTGTGCAATAAGTATTAATAAAACAGCTTAACAAGACACAAGGATTTTGCTCTAAGATTGATTTCATTTTGATAAAGCAGCTGCATGCAGCTTGTGCTTTATACACCATAAGGCAACAGCCAGCCCACGCAAAAATCACATGATGGAAGTCTGTTTCCAATGATGAGTCATGTAGGAAAAGTCTGATCTGTTCCTATTGACCATTGCATCACGATGCTTATGATTGAATCGGTGAATGTCCTGGTTCTCAGTGTTCGATGGCAACTCACGTTTATTTCACATGTTCTCTAAAGCTCTGAAAGCTGAGGTCTAACCATACGCCCAATGTATACTTAGTAAGCACGTGCATTACCATTAGCACATGTACTAAACACATGCACATGCATTAAGCACAATAAGCACATGCATTACACATGTACTCCCAATTCAGCTCGTAGTTCTATACGAATCTGCACAAAGTCACACACACCTACAACACGCGTTGCTCTGTTCATTACACAGCACGCCAGTGTCCTAGAATTGCCGACTTTGGGTGTAAAGCAACGCCCTATGAGGAGGAATTTTTCACTCCTTTTCCCCATATTTTATGTGAATTTTTCACTCCTGCCTGACAATGTCTATTCGCACATGCCAAACCCCTATTTCCCTTTCTGAGGTCTTCAGATGTCATCCAAAACCTAGCTCACTTGAAACCACCAAACATAAACGAGGCTCCACAGAACCTGGACACCTATGGCTTTGTCCTGCCTCACTTACTTCTGAATCATGTCTATGTATGCACAGAGCAAGGGCGCCAGGTACCTCCAAGCCCAAGAACCTCAGCGATCCCAGCCGCTTGCACGCATTAAGTTTGGTTTGTTTACAAATACATCACGATCGGCAGCTGTGTGCCAAATGCAAGGTTTTCCCGCATTCCTATTTTTTGATCTCACCACCACACCCCGAAAGCAGAGCCTGGCGCAAACGCCAGCAAGGCCTGGTAGAGAATTTTATTCCACGTATTTCTTTTTTGCCGAGGAAACTTGACCACTAAATTGCATCACTCCCGAAATGCAGGGGTGAAGAGTTCAAGAAAGGTCTTCTAAATTAAACTCACAACATGAATATCACGATTTGAGCACTTAAATTAACAGATTTTAAGTCAAATTACCTGATAACAAAATTCTGCGAGAAAAGTACCAGTCTTTATATTTATTTAGCTACTTTTGTTTTTCTTGGTATCATGCGGGTGTGATGCCACTTTATTCTTCCTTCCTTTTCGATTGCCTTTAGAGGTACCATCTGCTGCTTAAAATGTTGACCAATTTCTCTGCAAGATGTTCCAAATACAAACTCGTACGTATTTCATACATAAACTGGATTAATTTGCCAGCCGCCCAAACGAGTTTGATATGCACCCAAGCGTGAGCAATTTACAGGGAATGAGGGGGACAATCAATTTGAAGCACGGAGCTTATTTTTACCGCCATTTTTGCCCTCTTAAATCTTCGGTTAACCGTTTTCTTGGTTCATGGCGGTGCTCAGCAATGATAAATCTAAGCCTTTCGAGTGTCTGATTTACCAGGCTACCTGGCAAGGCTTTCCTAATGGTGCCATACAGAGCATTGAGACAAACCTGACGCAGCTAATACAGAAGTGTTTGATGGCGAAATTCTGCCCTCCGGAGATGTTTATCATGCACACCTCTTACTTGTTTCGCATTTTAATCTCGAAGGTTGGTGGGCATGACTGATATTTATATTGGGGGGGGGGGGGAGGGGGTGTGAATGGGATGACTCCGTCTGCCAGCAGACCATGCAAAAGGTGCTGACTTTTTTGGGGGGGAGGGAGCAGGAAGAAGCCAGTAAGTTTCCTGTGGACCAAGTAATTGCTTACCTTACCTGCTTTCAGTAGATGATAAGTAACCAGAGTTAGCCGTTTTCTGTTTTAGCCCATCGAGTTTTGTCATAAGGCAAATAATGATGCCACAAGGCATGCAATGGGCTTATTTTTTCCACATGCTTGGTTATTTGCCCCAAATTTCTTAAAATGGTCCCTCATGACTCCTTTAACCGGATGTTTTCTTTAGTTGTCATGATTTGCTGACCGGCAAATGACTGTACTGTATATATGCGCTATATTTTTAACACAGGGATACTCTAAGCTGCATAGCAATTACAATATGAGTTAAATATTAGTATGTAATAAATAGTCAGGCCATCCCATGTAAAATGTGAAGCTAACACCTCGAACTTTGTCATTAAATATGAATAAACAAACCTAAATGGATGCATCTGCTGCAGCTGAAAAGGCAATGAGCAATACTGGCATGGTCCTCTAAAAGGTGTGTTACTTTTGGAGAAGAGAGATTGTTTTGTGGAGCATACCCATTATTGCCCTTGACATAGGTTCATCATGGCAATCAAAATAAGTTGTTCAAAGTGATTTTAAGTGTTTTGAATTGTGTTGTCAACTTTGTCTGATGTCAACAAGCATACACAAATGAACTGAATTAAAATACAAGTTGAAACCAGCCAAAAACTAGCTTTAGGTATCATGCTTTTATCACAAGTGCTGCTGTCAACAGATAGGTGAGCTGAGATTATGTTCATCATATGGGCTACTCTAAGTTAGGTTAAGTTGGTCAAGTGCATGGCAATTGGCAATAGGAATTGTGCAAGAATTAGTATCTCACAGCTGCTGCTTTGATACAAACAGGTCATACAGGATGAGATGATGTAAGGCCTCTTTAGGTTAGGCATAGGCTACTTTCATGGAAATGAGCATTGGTATTTTGTAAGAAACAGTGACAAAGTGTTTGTTTTCCCTGACCCCATCTTAACAGAGGCCAGAATTATGTCTGTTGTGTTTGCCTTGGTGATGGGCTGATGTGTATGAGTCCAAGGTTTTTTGGGTTGAGTGTTTTGTACTTGTTGAATTTTCCGTTGTTATTTTGTTATCGAATTTCTTTGCTTTGTTGTGTTTTAAAAGTGCTATGGAAGGGAATTGAAAAGTGCAGCATCAAACTATTGGTGTTAATCATTTGTTACGCTCATAATACTGTCATGAAATTACCATGCTTTAACGCGCGCCCGGTTGGCCGGCTAGATACCCTTCGCTCGGGTGGGGGGTCAATTTGACCCCCCCCCCCTCTGAGATCTCGGAAACTAAGAAAGCTAGAGACACCAAATTGACAGGGTGTCTTGACCTATACGAGAACTCACTTAGCTTAACGTTTCAGCTTCCTAGGTTATGACCTTCATGTCAAATAAGGTCAAACAAGGTCAAATTCCAGGTTGGTATCCAAAGCACCCCAGAACCTAGGCAACTGTCCCTAAGCAAAAGGTCACAAGCCCATTTGAGGTCATTGACCTTGTTTAACCCTTTGAACGCCATGGTGACGAAAATGATACATGACTGCTATGAGTTTTGCATTTGAATGAGCGATAAAGATAACGCTAGGCAGTATGTTCTTAAGACAAAAGGTTCGACCTGGGTCATCTTAGGTCAATGGCCTGGTCTGACCTCTAAGGAGTCCAATGAAGATGCATAATGTGGTTCCTGCTGTCAGTAAATTCGAAATGAACACCAGAAACTATCCCATACAGCAAGCCCTAAAGTAATAAATCAGGTTGGTTTTGACCTTGGTCTGACCTTCATACCTGACCTTTGGTCAACGTAATTTGCTCATTCAATATTTGTTGTGCCTAAGAAAGCATCTCAGAGATGTATGTCTGCGTCAAACACTCCGTTGTTGTATCAGATTGAACGATTCCCTAGAAATTGCCTCCGCTGAAACCATGGGCT